GTTATGGTTATCGCTATGCGGTATAGTGGCGCGTCGTGTTGTCTCTCAGCTAATTCGCCTAGGCGTTATGGCACGTTGGACGACAAATTGTACAAATAATGTTATAAAATATTACTACCTCAACGAATCTTCTCGAAACACGTACGGAACGCGCACATCGTACTCATGAATTCCTGGTACTCGATTTTCATGTTTTTCGCAAAATACCAACTGCCGTCTGAAAAGATCAATTATGCAACTTTGTTGCGCAAATACCTCACGAATTCTTGTAAATTTTGTGAAATATTTTTAAAGACATTTATTAGACCAACTTTTCGAAGGGTCGAACGTGTAAAATATACACGGCAAATGCAATAAAGAAAATTATTGAATTTATTTATTCACATAAAAGTCGTAAAATAACAATGTTTTATCATTTTTACAAAAAAATAAAAATTTTAGTATTATCATTTCGAACGTAAATGAACACATTAATACATAAATGGGTATATTTATATTTATTTGAATTATTATTTCGAATTAATTAAAAATATTAAATTTTTTATTTCCATAAAAAGTTTAGATACATAACCAGTGCTTGGATTGGGGGGGGGGGCAGGGGGACGGAGCTCCTCTACTTTTTTTTTTATTTTTTTGCGGACCCCAACTACTTTTTTTTATTGGGACGGGAGGACAGTGGAGAATACGACCGAATTTTTTTTTTAAATATAGATTTAAATTGTGATCAATTTTACAATTATTTATTATTTTATTACAAATATATTGTAATAAAATAATTTTTTATAATTTATATGATATCATATTTCATTATAGTATGATAATGAAATATGATTTATTAATAAATACTAAATAAAGTAATGAGTAAAAAAAAAAAAGGTCTTCGGGACGCAGTTTTCAAATTGTTAGGTTGAGCTCCCCTACTTATTTTTTGTTAATTCGAACACTGTACATAACTATAATATTTTGAAATACACAAGTAAAAGTATTGCAAAGATAGCGAAGAATTCTTTTTAAAAATAAATTCAAATATTAAGTGTTACATATTTATATTCAGAATGGTCTATGATATTATTGACAAATTTTTTAACTTTAATCAACTAAATATTTTACGTTACTTTTTTTTTTTTTTAATAATTTATGCATTCTTCTGCTACATTAAATATATATTTTTTATTATTTGTTTTTAATAATAATTTAATAGTAATAATAAGAATAATAATCAATAATAATTTTATTATTAAAAACAAATAATAAAAACATATTAACTTTATGTAGTTTAAGAACACAGAAATTATTTTTAAAAAAAGTAACGCATAGTATTTTATAGGTTAATAGTGATTGACAAAACATTATGATATATATTTTATATATCTTAAGTTTTATAGAGAGAATATAATTTGTACAGCTCATTACGAAAAATATTTTTGAAGAAACTCATTTCATTAAATTAGTCGAAAGTTTGCACAACAAACCATGAAAACCTTCAAAAGGGAATAAGAAAATTAATAAAAGGAGCCGCCACTACTAACCGGTTCATAATACTTAAGTTAATACAGCGATAATAATATCCTTGTTCGCATTAGAACATTATCAAAATACCTTTTACTTGAGTCAATAGAAACAATAAAAAAAAATTAACACTAATAATTGAAAAAATTCTCGGCATCCCTAGATTGAATGAAAATAAATTATTATCATAAAATAATGATCACGAGTATAAAATGGGGTAAAAATAGATGACAACCAGTGGTGTTTGAGGGGTTCATCAAGTTTAGGTCTATAAAATTAACGTATAATCTATAAAAATACAACAAATTTGTTTACGCTCTAATACATTCGTATACCTTAATAAATAAAAAAAAATTACTCCATTTGCTATAAAAAACGTAATTAATTATTGAATTCCTGGACTTGCAAGTATCTGTAGAAACGAAACGCTGATCGTTTGCCTAAAAATACCTCTAACTTTTTTATAAACCTGATTTTCTTTTTTTAAATTCTTATGCTTTTAATTTGTTTTAAAATACTGTTTTCAAAAAATGGTCTTCCGTCGCTTTAAATTTTTCTAAATGACACCTGTTCATTATTCCACACTCTCTTGGCTTCATCGATTAGACTTTCCCCGTAAATTTTATTTTATCCTTTTCCCACTTAAAAATTGACCATTTTTTTTTACCGGCTTTCATCATTAAATTAGTTTTAATTTTCGTAGCTCTGAATTCTATTTCATACAGTCATCTCCACGAGGAGGAAGTTGTTGGTAACTTTCCTTATTATTTACTATGATGTCCTTTCTTTGACTTTAATAGGTTCGTCTATATTAACATTTTTGTATCTGGTGGTATTCTCTAATTTCTTCTAATTATCACTACGACTATATCCTTCTTTTTTAACTGCTAGCTACATTAATATTATTTTTTTTTCTCTTAAAGGTTATATTAATTTATCGTAACCGTTATATTCTATAATTTTTAAATTTAATATGTACACATTTCAATTAACTTATGTATAGATTTTTTTATATTGTCTATAATTGGGTCTTATATTATTAAGAAAAATATTATTTCTCTGTGATAAAAGTTTAAACGATGAACTGTAACATTTTATAATAAAGTCTATTATATAGGGTGTTCAGTATGTAAGGAAACGGGTTTCTTTTGTTTTCATTGTTTATAAAAATTAATATATTTTCATATTTACTGAATACTCTAAGTATATAAAAAAAACGCGTAATTATTTATTTTTTGATAATATTCTCTCTTTTTACAGTATAGAAATCGAATATAAAAGAGATCATAAGGATCGTCCATCTAGTATTTACAAATCTAATGGAATGTATGCCGTTAGTTTTTGTACGATAACATCACTGTTTATAAAATAATCCATAACAGCATCTTTAATCCTTTNAGAATGTATGCCGTTAGTTTTTGTACGATAACATCACTGTTTATAAAATAATCCATAACAGCATCTTTAATCCTTTTAATTGTTTTTTCTTGATAAAATGAGCTGATAGGGCATTGAAAGAAATAAAACATTTTTATTGAATTTGAATTTTATTTGTGTAATAAAAATAATAGTTATTATATAGAATGGAATATTAATTAGTGATTTTTTTTTTTGCTAATTTGTAATAGAATTAACTTATTTTTTGTTTATTATCTTTGTTTCTATTTTTTTTTTTAAAGTGCTCAACACTAATTTAATCAAAGACGAAATTAATGGGAAAAAAATATATACAAATAATTTACTGTATTTTTTGTTGTTTATAAATAAAATATTTAATTGTCAAATTTAAGTATCAAACTTTGTTATGGGGCGTAATATAACTTAATTGCAAATCACTTGGTCATATTGAATTTTATAATTTTTTTTTACTATTATTCAGTCATTATGAATGTTTTTTTTCTCTAAAAATATAATAATATTTTTTTAATGTGTTAGTCACTGATGCGACTTGTATAAATTTTATAATGTGTAAATGAGATACTATACTTNCGACTTGTATAAATTTTATAATGTGTAAATGAGATACTATACTTGTCATATTTATACATTGTTTTCTTGAATATTTAAGTCTAAGTGTCATGTGTACTTAATTATTATTCACGCCCAGGAAACTTGTTTAATAATTAATTTTATTTATGAGTTATATTTTTCTTAAAAGAAAACTTCGTGGCGTCAGTTGTTGCTCTATTCAGAATCAGTAGGCTTTGCCTGAGGATAGATCAAAAAATGTCCAAGTCATTCCACATTGATAATGACTGATAATTTTAGCAGTTTTTAAATAACTTGCGATTACAAAATAAT